TAAAAATTATGAAGAAAATCATCTCAAAACTACGTCGTTTCAATAAATTTTTATTGAGAAAAACTAAACTACCTTATTTTCAAAGCATGCATTAAGGTGATTTTTGTCCTTTTTCCTCCTAATTTTTTAGAAGTAACGCGAATAAGCACTAATTTCAAATATTGTAACTATAACATTATTATTAATTGGTTAAACTAACTCCCATAGATAAATAACTAATTTTAAAATTGAACCACGTTCATAAAAATGATCTTTAAGGTTAGATTTAGCTTTTAGTTAAGTGGTGGTTTAATGGTAATTCATTTTAATAAAAGAATTTGTTTAACTTATACCTTAAAAATATATTAAATATATCATTTTATCATAAATTTATATTGAAAAAAATAAAAATCAACTATTAATTTATCAACTATTTAATTAAATTCATCTAATATAAAAATTAATATTAATTTTTATATTTTTATACACATTTATTATAGAAAAAATACTCTTAACTTGTGTTTTAAGCCCATAAATTAAAAAAATCCTTGATAAAAATAAGAGATTTAAAATTTGAATCACTAGTGAGAAAAGTGTAGAAATGAATTGATGCATGGAAAACTAAACGTGTTCCTTTTGTCTATCTCTAACAATTAAGAGTTACTGACTTCTAATCTAATAATCGGTAATTATTAATTGATATTAATAATTAAGTTACATAAAATTACTAATTATTAATTTTAAATTATTATATCAAACAGCTTTATAATAAAAGAAAATAAAAGATTAGATGTGTTTTTTTTAAGATGGAGTAATCATTAAGTTTTCTTTTTAAATTGATTTAAGTTGAATAAGTTTAGTTTTTTTTTAAATAAAATTTAAATTTTAAGGCTTGTAAATAAAAATATAAGTGCTGAAAAAGTTCATATTTTATGAAATTTAATATAATTAGACTCTAAATTAATTACGATTTACTATAATTTATAGATCTAAATACCAAAAATTATTAAGTATTAATTTTAAATTGTTATATCAAATAACTCTATAATAAAAGAAAATAAAAAATTAGATGTGTTCTTTTTGAAATAGAATAATTATTAATTTTTCTTTTTAAATTGATTTGAGTATAATAAATTCAATTTTTTTAAATAAGATTATAATTTAAAGTCTTGTAAATAAATATATTGATGTTGAGAGAGTTCTCTCTTATAAAATTTAATACAAATTGATTCTAAATTAATTAAGAATTAATGTAATTTATAAATAGAAAAAATTTAGTAAAAAAATTAAGTTTTTTTAGAATAAAGAAGAGCTCAACTTTAAAAATATATTTCAATAAGTTATTTAAAATAAAAATTGATAAATAAATTCAGCTATCTCATTTTAGAAAGTCTAAAATAAATTAGATTGAATATAGGGCATTAGGATAGGCTGGCTTCCAAATTCAAACTTCAATGGCAGCTGAACCAATCA